ATGGTCGTGCAAACAAACAAATGGAGGGACATACACAATTATTATATGATGATAATAGTAGTAGTTGTTATTTTTGTTGTTGAGTGAGCAGCAGCATGCCAACAAAGTGATGCCAAGGTACAAATATATGAAGTCCACTATACCCATCATGATGACACCCAGTCTGATAAAGTTAAACCAGGCACTTGCATCACAGACAAATAACCATCTACTTCTTTTGCTTTCTGTTTTAAAAGTTATTTTTATGCAAATGATGGTGGGTGATGTTGCATTTAAATTTTTGAAGACCAAAGTTTATTGGAAAGCAACAAACTGGAAGAGAGTTCCACAAGGGAGAAGTGTGAGAAAAGAAACTGTTACAAATGAACTTATGATTACATTTAGTTTATTCAACAGTAAAACAATAAATCCTTGTTGACAACTAGTAAATCTCTTAAATTCATGTGTTAGAGGTACCAAAGAGGAAAGCTCATCAGAATAAATACCATGAAAATATGTATTATAGAAAAGGCACAGGGAAGGTATGTTGTGATGGTGGAAAAATGAATGAAGCTGAGAGGTGTTATAAAATAAAATAAGACATATCTCAGCTGATTTGCAGGCAAATAAACTAACATACTCAAGAGCGAGAGCTGGATGTGAATGGGACAAGGCCCCGTCACAAAATGACCATATTTACACGTTTATGCATATTCCCAATGCACGAGTTCTGGTCGAAAAATAAAATAATATTTTAAAGTGTTTCTATTTTTCGACCAATAAAAATGCTTCCCTCCTAATTATACTCGCGTCGTTTTACGAGCCTGTCAACAGGAGGCCAAGGAAGAGACCTGTCACGGTCAGTCTGAGCGGTCAGCAGCAGCCAGCAGCAGTAGCGCCACGCCAACCAACGAGAACTACTATGAGAGATCAACCCAGATCTTCAGCCAGCCTATGAACTATATCACAAGGTAGCTGTCCCAAACCCACACATTCCTGTTGAAATAAATCACGTAAATCTATTTCTGCTGTTGTCGTATTTCTTTCTTGCAACCATACGCTTGTCTATAACAGATGCCAGGTCAGGACCAATAACATTACAGATTCTTCTTTGGAATTTGTCAAGAATCTTTAAAGCACCAGACCAGACATGGCCACAATATTCACTGCATGGAAAAATGGTAAGATTCTGTCAAGAAAAATTGTCTAGTATGTTAAAATGAACTAACTTTCCTCACAACAGACCTAGCAATTGAATTGATAAACGTTCCAATTCATGTCAGGGAGAAAACGTTAGCCAGAGAAGGCACTCTTCTGAAGCTTAAACAAAAACATGGGCGCTATTACACTTCCGTTGCTTAGGGTTTTAGAAACATTGATTTTGTTTCTCAAGATTTATATTTAAATATTATAATTAACAATAACAAACAGAACTGTTTCCAGACTGTCGTACCTGAGGCAACCATTGCTGAATGACAAGAAGCAACGGTGGGTGCGAAAATGTAATAGTGCCAAAACGTGGTCTCTAAGACGAAAAGAGAGAGCATTTTCTTTTTTATAATTTCTTTTTTTTTTTTATTCTTTTGTTTCTTGTCTAATTGTTACTTTGAAACAAATGAAACAACACAAAGGAAAAAAGCTACAAAAGTGGAAATAGGCGCATTCAGAGATCAAAGGAATTAAAATAAAATAAAATTTTTGATCCGAGATGAATTTTATTTGTCCGTTGAATAAGTATGGAGTTGTCTCCCTTAGGTCCTTTATACTCATTGGAGCCACAATAAATTTATGTGATTGATCTAAAATTGCGAACTGAGAGTATTATTCATGTTTATTTTAATTTTTGGTCGAAAACAATCTTTTCTCTATTGCATATTTTATTTCCAATTTTTTTTGTTTGATATAGTAAGAAAGAAAATTCAATATTTGTTATTATTAAGAATTCAATTTCAAAACTACCCCCATTTTTAAAAAAATTACTCTGCTTATTTTTGCGAAAAAATACATTATTAATAAACTTAGGCATTTAGCAGAATTCCGTGAAATTGTTATTTATTTAGCCATTTATTTCAACGTTTGTATGTTGAAAGCAGATTGTAGTTTTTGCTGGGTTTATCAGGCTTTTGCCAGCCTCAACAATGCTAAGGGCCTATACTGGTGTAGCTATTTTTTATTATTATTTTTTTTAATTGGTTGTGGTTTAATAAAAGAGTGGCGAGTATATGTAAGTATTTACTTAACAATTGTATTAAGGTAGAAAAACATGAAAATCGATATATTTTTAAGGACGATACTTTCTTTTCGGATTTTTGGATAATTTTTTTTATTCAGTATTTTATTTTCCATATTAGATAATTGAAATAATATACAAATATTTCATATTAAGTTTCGATTGATAAAATAGAATCTATATCTTTTTTTTTCTACCCCAATTAATTCTAAAGAGTTTTCCATTCTACAAGTAAAGTAATTTTTTTAAAAAAGTTTCCAAGCTAAGATTAAGAATATATTTAGAACATTAGAGTTGCTTCCCTTGGAACTGGCGAACTTCTAGAAATCTATCTATTTTTATATTTTTTACACCAGTGAAAGCAAATTTCTTTCTTTTTAAATTATTCAAAGATGGAACAGGATTTTTAGATTTTGGCTATTAATTATTACCACATCTGTGTCTAGGACTTTAGTGTGACTCAAATAGTGATGTATCAGCAACTGATTTTGGAATATTTGACCGGGAGATTCAGATTCAAAAGAACACTTTGGGGGGGAGCGGCACATCCGATAGCGTATTTTTGTTGCAACAAATGCAGCGATAAGGAAGAATAAAAACATGAATTTTTTATTTTTATTTAGCAAATACACCTAAAATTAGATATTAAAAATTATAAAAGTTTTTAAATTTTAGTTTTATCTATATTTGACTGCTGGTACCTACTTGAATCCAAAGTTTTTTCATACCTATGTGAGACGTTCAAGACTTTGGCGTCAGTTCTTTCATTTTGATTTTATGTCTGTGAACTGGTAGTGAAAAGACCGTTACAGAATGGATGCGGGAATAAAATGCCATAAAATCAAAGACTACTTTAAAAAAAAAAATCTTGTTTTTTATTAAAACAGTTTTCTTTTAACTTTTACTTTTTCATTCTGGTAGAGAGAGTCAACTTCTATAAGACTAAAAGGTAAATACTGAAAAACCAACGGAAATTTGACATCAACATATTTATGTAAGTGTATTTTTCTTTTCTTTTTGTTAACTCTATTTTAAAGAAAAAAATGAAAAAAAAATCAATTGCTAGCAATTTATTTTTAATCTTTCTTTCATATTTAAAATTATAATGTGAAATTTTAAATCATTGTAGAAGTAAAGATCTTTCTTTCAGTTGTAGGGACCGTTTGATTTTCTTGACCATTTTTTTGCTTGATATTCACCCAAATTTTGGATAAAATTGATTGTTGGTCTTAATTGTATTTCTCCTCCTGAAATAAAATTCTAATTTAGTTTTTAAAGTGTTGAGAATCTAACTTTAATTCAGTGTATTAAATTGCTGGTGGCCATTTCATTTTGCGTTGATTTGGGGCGAATACCGAGCGAAAATGGTTGAGTAAAATCTAACGGTTCATATTAAACCTCTTTTATTTACGAACTTCTAAACCAAATTGCAAATAAGATACAGCATCAAATATCTCATTAAAGTTGAACTAATTATTATTTATATCGTGATTTTTTTTTTTTTTTTTTTTTGTACAGTGTAACCCGGATATAAGAGAGATTTTCTCTGGTCCCAAATTAGAGCCCATACTTACCTAAACAAAATAGACCAAACCCGGATATAAGAGAATTCTTCTCCAGTCCCGACAACTCTCTTATATCCGGGTTACACTGTACAGTAAAAAAATTTTTACTCTAAAAATATAAACTACTAAATATTTTATTCACAGTACCACCAATATAAAAATAAACGGCCAAATCTGTATAATTAGAATAAAAACGTGAAATTTCTTTGATAGTATGCATAATTATACAACCATCATGTAAATTTGGAATGTTAAATGTGATGGCTATTTCATGCAAAAAAAGGGCTTGTTTTTTAAATGTTTGTTCTAACTTCCCACAAAGTTAGGTAGGTGTTACAAAGGAAAACTAAAACAGTAAACAAGACCTAATATCTTTAAGGCAATATCCACCACTACAATAAGTAAACTTTATTTGTTTACAATGTAAGTATGAAAACTTTAATAGAAAATATTTGATTTTTAGTCATTAATTTTCTGCACATCTATTCTTTGCAAGATCCAAATTTTTATTTTACTTTTTATTATTAATAGTAAATCTGATTTTAGTTAATTATTAATAACCAACAATATCACAGGAGACAGAGCGAAAAATTCAAGAATTTCAAAAGAAACTTAATTTTAATTAAAAATTGAAATGAAATATCTTTTAAAAGTTAATCTTTCAGCTTATTTTTTTTTTGAGAGCACAATAATATAGTTTCTCTTTTTGTTGCCATATTTCACAAAAACTTTTGAAAAAGATTTTGCAAAACAAATATTAGACAAGAAATATTTACACAAAATTTTATCAGCTACTGAGTTGAAATTGTTTTTTATTTATTTTTCAACTGTCAATTATTAGATTTTTTTAATCGGTATGTTCAAATTTCTATAGTTTTTTAGTGTTACGGTTTAAGAAATGTTTCACAAATGAAGCCATTTTCAACCTTATTTATAATCTATAAATAAATAAAATTTGTCGAATTTGTAGTGTAATATTTTTTATTTAAACATTCCCTCTAAGTGATTATGATAAAATTTTGTGAACAATGAATCTGTCCAAAAAAAATAAACTAAGTATATATTGTGATTTTATTTGAGGTAGGGGACGCCAGTCACAACCCTTGCCCTAGGTGCTACTAGACCTATGCACGCCACTGCTACCTAAACTAAATATAAATATATATATATATATATATATATATATATATATATATAAGTTTTGATATTGCACCAAATTTATGAACATGCTTCTCCTTAAATATGCAACAGGAGAGCAAATTTTTTTCTTTTTCTTTTATGACCTTAATTTGATTCAAATACAAGTTTTATTTTTATCATTTTTTTTTTTTTCCCAAAGAAAAATTTGACAGAAATACTGACTGTATAATTAATAGTTGTTTGTTTTTCTTTCTTTTTTATTTTGCTAAAAGAGAATTACAAGCCAATGGATATTTTAATTCTATGTGCTGTGTTCCTTCGGGACATGGACTCTCTAAAGCTTTGTAGCCCTTAGCAGTATTTATCCTTTTTTTTGCTAAGGTTCCTGCCCCCTGTTCCATTCACACAAACTCATCATGGGGCTCACCGCCTTCTCCTATTTCTCTTGGCCTCACTATGCCTTGTGAGGATTAGGTTTTCTAAGCCCTCCTTCTTCATTAATACAATTTTTACTCAATCTTAACAGCTTCTGATGAGACAAACTCCCATGTCACACCTTGAGAGTCTGTCTTTCATGAAGGTTACTATAACAACTTCAGCTATCATAGCATTGAGGGACACAAATCTCTTGTAGTTCTGCTACTCATCCTAGTAGTGTCTAAGGGAAAAAACACCAAAATGGAATAAGACTTCTACATATCACGTACCTTCATCACATAGGTGATCATGGCTCATCAAAACTCCCTATCTCTTGTGACCCTTAGTTTTTCTCACAAGCTCATCAGGGGGCTCACTGCCTTCTCCTATCTCTCTTGGCATCAGTATGCCTTATGAGGGTTAAGTTTTCCAAGCCCTCTTTCCTCATTATGTATCCAAGAAATTTCAACTATCTCTTCCTTATTCTGAGCATAAGTGTTCTTTCTGTTGCCATTTTCTTTAAGACTTTCTCATTGTTTACTTGCTCCATCCATGGTATTCTTAGTATCCTTCTGTAGAACAAAATTTCTGCTGCCTCCAGTTGTCTCGTCATCTGTGGAGAAATTTTCCAGCATTCTCTGTCATATAAGAGAATGGATATCGCATAGCAATCCAGTATTCTGTTCTTTGTTTCTAACAAAATGTTTCTTTTTCTCAGCACTTTGTTTATCTTTTGGAATGCTTCTTTCACTAGTTTTCATCTCCAGGGAGATTATTCACTGGCGTACAAGACGATTGATATTGCATAACAATTCTACACTCCTTTTTTGTTTCTCAGTACTTTGATTACCTTTTTGGAATGCCACTTTTGCTCAGCTCATCAGTGTCACATTTTTCATCCTCTGTTAAAGTAAAAGTAGATCAATGCCATCCAACGTGGAATCCTGTCATCGGCATTTATGTTGATTGCATATATTTTTTTTATCCAATTCATCTTAATTAAATCATTTACAGTAAAATTGAACCCTTGTGTGAGCCTTCAAACTTTTATGAATATCTGATATCATTTTCAGTAAATTCATCAATTGGCCCAATAGCACCTAACAAGTTGTATAATGAGCAAAGTTTTTACAACTAATTTTTAGCCTTCATTCAGTAGCAAACAGGTGAACAAAATAAACATTTAACTATTTTTTTGGACAGGTGACAAGAAATCCATGTGTTTGTACAAACAAGCTCTTTCAATTTAAAATACACTTGTATTCTTAATATAAAAAGTTCAATATGCAAATACCATACATGTAGATATGCATTTTATATTATGTTTATTACGTAAAATGCACAAATATTTTCTTTCTGGGATGAGGAGTGAGCAAATATTTATATTCTTTACAATTGGCCTAATATCCTCATCTTTATTTTCAGTGTCTCAGTCATTGGGTTTTCTGGCTTTCTTCAGGTGTCACTTCATCCAGTTAACCTTCATTTTGAAGTGAACACTTTGTTTAATCTATGGGTTAGATTGGTCTTGTTTCACCATGCCTAGGAATATATATTTTTTTTTTCTCAGTTACTACTTGCCCTGTTTCTGTCTTAGCCTGTACTATCCAACCCAGGAATTGAACTCACAATTTCTATGACACCCAATTCATGAACCAATGCTTTAATTCTCTTAGCTAGGTTTCAGTTTGAAAGTGACAGATGTCTGAAGGCCAAATAGCACAATTGTCAAAATGTTGTAATAGAAACAACAGATGTGAACATTAGTCTGAATGTAAATAATGTCATTAAATATTTTCTGTCTTTGCTATTTTCAACACCTTTTCAGTTGCATATAATATTTATTGGGAAAAAACAACTAAAGAATAAATTATGTTCATGGAGCACCTATGTGAAAATGTTGAATCTGTCATGTTTTTTGTGTATTTCTATCCACCTCCCATTGACGCATAAATAAAATTCAAGTTGGCCTCTCTAGATTTATTTAGATTAGGGGTTTCTCAAAACTTATTGCCTAATTTCACATGAAAAAATTTTCCACTGCCAACCTGTATAGTAAATATTCAAAAGCACATCAAAATTGTTTGGTGAAAGTTTGTTACTGGTTCATAAACTGACTTCAAGATATAGTAAAAAAAAAAAAAATACCAAAGGGGACATAAAAAATAATGCTGAATTATGCTACAGCTGATACTATAATATTAAAGAACAAACAAAAGCAATATTGATCAATGAAAACATATATATATATATATAAATTTAGTTTTAGGATTAGGATTGCAAGTGTTGACAAAAAATGAATTTTTTTTTTCATAATTATAAAATAAAAAGAATATACACAACTAGCAAGTAATAAAAAATTCAGCAAATATATTTTTGTTGTACTTGGTCTTCCCTTATCTGATTTATGTCTGAAAAAAAAATGTTATTTTGTTTGAAGAACTATAAATGTTAATGACCCTTCCCAAAACAATAGAAAATACTAAAATATTCCTTCTTTGTATGGTTATTTATATCTTATCTTGGAATGTGACCCAGTTATTTCCATTTAGCCTACTGTGTTTTTTATACTGTGACTTTTTTTTTTTTTTGTTAGCATATCTTGAAATACCTTTTTAATACTCAAAAGACTCTATCATTCACCAAAATTTCCAATCTCCCACTATTTTCTGTTCATTTACTCATTGCTCATCTAACAGTTGAAATTGCCCAAGTTGGGAAAATGTGATTTAGATAACAATCCTCCCCAGCTTCTATTTCATCATGAGCAAATATTTCCAAATATGTAAACATTTTAAAGTAAATACTGTCTGTAATCATATATAAAACACCACCATTTTTTATCCTTAAGAAATTACTCCAAAATATATCTTGTCTTGTATGCAAAGTTGACGCTAATGTTTACCCAGACATTGTAAATTACTACTATTTGTACTTAACCTAACTACACAATAACTATAATATTAAATGCAAATAGACAGGGAAGAAAATCTTAAATGCAATCAGATCTGATAGTATTCAAATGTCTACAGATAGACAAATTCCATGACCACAGGCAGAAATACAAACATATCAGCTTTGCTTTCTTCTATTTTTGTCTATCTTATTCTTTATTTCTCTTCAGTTTCAAATATTACAATGCTTTGGCTGGTTGTTTCTCTAACCATCTTCAGGTGTTTTCGTCATCTGGCTGTATGTTGTTTGTTATGATATTAGCCTTTATTGATTTATTTTTAACTCATATTGTCTTATTTTTTTAATACATAATGTTTTTTTCCCTTTACAACAACTAACAAGCCTGTTAATTTTAAGCTTATTGCATATCAAAATTGGATAATATCTTTAAATACTACACATGAAAATCATTAGCCAGTAAACACTTTGTCTTATTCTTCCTTAACAGACTGTTCTTTCTATATATATATATATATATATATATATATATATATATATATATATATATATATAGTTCTTTATACACACACACACACACACACACATAAAAATGTATAGAAAGTGCACTGATTTCTGAGTCTTTCATGGTAACTTTGCATCCAAGTTCTTAGGCCTTAACAAATCTTGTTTGAGTGCCAGATATTTAAAAACAAAAATGTTGGGAGACTGAATGCAATTGGTGTAGCTGTTGTGTATAGACATTTCAGATGTGAAAAATTTTTTTAAAGTTAGAATTTAATCTTTTGAAATTTTCAGCGTTTTTCCTTTTGGAGCATAATTACCACTGAAATTTTTATGTTCCCCCCACTTATCCATACATACAATTTTATCAATAAGAATCTTATTTTAATCTGAAGTCCTTTTGAAGGATGAAACACATGACAGAATTTTTCCATTTTTGTCATTCAGTTTCCATCATTGTTCTCAGAACGATGATGGAAACTGAGTCCGTGTGTTCATGTCTGAGAAAACGAGGGATTGGATATAAATTTTATACATCAGATTCAGATGTATAGAATTTTTATATCCATCCAATCCTTCGTTTTCTCAGACGAACACAAGGACTTTTTTCTTTGAAATCGGACATTGGACAATTTATATTCAAATGTACTCTAAGCCAAAATAATTAATTCAAATATGTATTTGACGAGAAAATATTTAATGTTCCTGAAACACAAATTGTTTCAAGTATGTATTCGGAACCCAACAGAACTGATTCCAGCTTGAAAGCCTATGAAATTAGTTAATATAAGGGAGGGAATAATCAGGATAATAGTCGCTTGCATGTTTTTTTCTGTTTTTTTTTTTCTTGACTAGGCAAAACTCTTTTTACAGATTGACTAGCAGGTTTTCATTATCCACTAAATTTATTTGATATCTCATGGTCAAATTCTCATTTTCTTCTGGTCTTTAGAGAATTTCTTGAATATAAATCTTCATCTATCTCGCTTCATAGTCAAACGCCGAAGGGCAGGAAAAGTTAATATCAATAGTATTTATAACTCGACATGTGTTACTCCCCTTAGACGCTGCCAAATATTGCCAAGAGTATTGTCCCTTGCGTTTAATTTTTGGGATAGAAAGCTGTTGGCAATTCTGTTAAATATTAACCAGATACAGTTGTTGTTTTTTGTTTGTTTTTTTTGTTTAGTTTTTTTTTGTCTTATAAACAATATTCACCGTATACAAGGCCCCAAACCCACCTCATACTAAGAGATAAGAGACATAGTTTATGAGGATAATTTTATGAGGGAAGTCCGGCGTTTTTATTTAAAAGAAAATTCTAATCAATCACTAGAGGGAGAAAAAAAAGTGGGTGCTGAGAACCAAAATTTAGGATGATTTTTCTCTGATTATTGCTTTTGCCGCTCAAATAAGCAAGAGGGTATCAAATGATAGGTGGGAGTCTTTCAATTTGTATAATTTTAATAGTGTTTAGGATAAAATCAAAAGCAGTTCTCTTAATTTTCAAAATTTTAATAAGTTTACCTCCACCCTGACATTTATTGGAGAGACAAGAGTGCAATTTCTTCATCTGCAGGAGGCATGTAAATAACCCTCATTGCTGCACTCGTGATGTTTTAAGGTGAAAAGCAGTGTTTATATTATAGATAGGGGTTACAGAGGGTAGAGAACAGGAGTAAAGAAGCATGTTTGGAGAGAGGATAAAGAGAAGGATTAGGAACAAGATCAAGGTATCAGATGTCAATTGACATTACATTTGAATATTTGAAGATTATAATTATCAGGGAAGCAAATAAGAGGAAGAAAATTCCACAGACGAGAAGTGTGAGAGAAAAAGCTGTTTGAGTAAAAGTGACAGTTACATTTAACTGTTTTGACAGTGAAAGGGTGGGACAGAGATGCCAAACTAGTAGCTCGCTAAAAATTCATGCAGTATGGGAACCAGCGAAAATAATTCGTCAGAAGAGTTGCCATGAAAATACTTATAGAAGAGACAGAAGGAAGCTACGGCACGTCTGTGAGAAAGCGACTGTAGACTAGATGCCAGATCAGAACCTATCACATTGCATATCCGTCTCTGGATTTTGTCAAGGACTAATCTAATAGTTTCTTTTCTCACTCTTCTTGCCTGTGGAACTCCTTTCCCTGCATCCAACAATCTTCAAAAATTTAAAAGCAAAGCCAATTGCCATCTTACTTTCCTGATTCTTGTGTTTTTTTTGTTTTGTTTTTTGTTTTTTTTTATCCATTTTCCTCACTTCAGTCTTCTCATTCTTTTTCAGCAACCCAATGCATCCTAGTGTCACTATCGCCTTGCCTTGGGCGTTGAAATGATTAAAAACAAAAACACAGATAAAATAGGACAATTATAACAATATACTGTAATAATAATGAATAGACAACTTGTTCTTACTATAGATCATATTAGAGATTAATCTTACTTATTATAAAACGCAGATTGTGTGTGTGTGTGTCTGTACATTACCTTGTGGTGGTTCTAACAGCGCCAAATATTGGAAAAACACAATTGTTTTTGCACGAAATCAACTTGAAAACACAATTAAGAGGTATCACGAGAATGAAAGGGGGACAACTCATCGAGTTATACTTATTATAAAACCCAGGTTGTTTGTGTGTATGTGTGTTCATTTATATATGGGATCGGATTTCCTACATTTTTCAACCGATTTCAACAAAACTTCACTTTTTTTTGGCAGGTAGTGTTTCTTATTGTCTTGCACACTTTTACCTTTATTTTTACATTCAGAATGCTTTAAAAATTCCATTTATAAGACAATTGTTTATAATAAAATTCTATTCAATAGGTAGATCCATAACGATTGAAAACAATGTTTTTGTTTGGGTTTGACCAATTCATAAAAAAAAAAAAAATAATTAAGACATGCGTGTCCGTCAACCTTAAACAATAATCTTTGTCAATTTTATTTTTCAATCTTTATGATGGTTGATGCTTGGTCTATCTCTTACTGTTACATCCACGGGCAATGCCGGGCTCTACTGCTAGTAATTAATAATTATCATAAAAGATCAATAACTTCTATGTACAGTGTTCCGTCAGGGTGTAGATGATCATGACTCTCCACAACTTGTTATAGTTCTGACTTATAATGTTTATCTTTTTACTACTTCTCCCACACCCTGTTTTGCCATCTATTCATGCAGGTGGCCCACTACCTCCTCCTCCTGCCTCTTTTGCTTTTGATATGTCACGTGAGTATCAAGTTCTCTAAGGTTTCTTTTCTCATGTGTCCAAGAAATTTGAGCTCCCTCTTTTTTATTTTGAGTATAAGTGTTCTTTTTGTTTCCATTTTTTATAAAACTTCCTCATTACTCACATATTCAGTTCATTTTATTCTCAGTATCCTTCTGTAGAACCACATTTCTACTGCCTCAAGTCACATGTTCATCTGTGAGTAGAATATTCAGCATTCATGACATTAAATGGGGTAAGTATTAAATAACAGTTCAGCGTTCTTTGTTTCTAATGAAATTTTCCTGTTTCTTTTTAGTTTGTTTAGCTTTTGGAAGGCTTCTTTCATTATTCCAACTCACCTTTGGATTTTGAAATGTCATTTTTCAACCTCTGTGAAAACACTACCTAGATGTTTAAATTTTCTTACTAACTTGATTTTGGTGTCTTGACTTCCTAGTTCACATCTTTGCAAAGGAAAGGAACAAAGATTAAGATTTCAACAATGTTTTTGTCAAAATTCTCAGAATATGTACATAGTTGTGTGAAAGGTGGCAAATATGTGGCTCCTTAGTTGCTGTTGGTAAGGAAAGTGATTAACTGTAAAGGTGTTGTCAGTAGGGTCAGGAGTTGACCAATTTCTTGGGTTGGTTGTCCAAGGTCACAGTTGGGGTCAGGAGATAGGTCTAGAGTGGGTTAGTGAAGCCAAGAGTAGTCATTGGTAGGGTTTGATGTATGCATTTCTTCAGGGTTGAAATCAACATTGAAGTGTTTGATGGTCTGGTGTTTGCATGATGAGGCCAAAGTGTTGAAGTCATCAACGGGGATTAGCATTTTTACATCTTTGGTTCAACGGCTTTTCCCTTCTTTTTTATTTATTTTTTTCCCTAGGTTCTTTTTTATTTATCCCCAGGTTATTTTATTTATTTATTTATTTATTCACCCCCTGATCCTGATTCTTTTCTTCTTTTTTTTTTCTTTTTTTTTTCTTTTTTTAAATATTTATTCCCCCCCACCGGTTCTTTTTTTAAAATTTATTTCCCCACCTGGTTCTTTTTTTCTTTTTTTAACCCCCCCAGTTCTTTTTTTTTTCCCACCGGTCCTTTTTGTTATTTATCCCCACGATTCTTTTCCTATTTATTCCCCACCGATTTCTTTGTCATTTACCCCCCCCAGCAGTTCCTTTGTCATTTATCCCCCTCCAGCAGTTCCTTTGTCTTTATCTCCCATCCAGCAGTTCCCCTCCCCCTCAGCAGTTCCTTTGTCATTTATCTCCCCCCTCCAGCAGTTCCTTTGTCATTTATCTCCACTCCAGCAGTTCCTTTGTCATTTATCTCCCCCACTCCAGCAGTTCCTTTGTCATTTTTATCAGTTCCCCCCCCTCCAGCAGTTCCTTTGTCATTTATCTCCCCCCACTCCAGCAGTTCCTTTGTCATTTATCTCCCCCCACTCCAGCAGTTCCTTTGTCATTTTCCCCCCACTCTCCCCCCACTCCAGCAGTTCCTTTGTCATTTATCTCCCCCTCCAGCAGTTCCTTTGTCATTTATCTTCCAGCAGTTCCTTTGTCATTTATCTCCCCCCCTCCAGCAGTTCCTTTGTCATTTATCTCCCCCCCTCCAGCAGTTCCTTTGTCATTTATCTCCCCCTCCAGCAGTTCCTTTGTCATCAGCAGTTCCTTTGTCATTTATCCCCCTCCAGCAGTTCCTTTGTCATTTATCTCCCCCTCCAGCAGTTCCTTTGTCATTTATCTCCCCCTCCAGCAGTTCCTTTGTCATTTATCTCCCCCTCCAGCAGTTCCTTTGTCATTTATCTCCCCCTCCAGCAGTTCCTTTGTCATTTATCTCCACTCCAGCAGTTCCTTTGTCATTTATCTCCCCCCCTCCAGCAGTTCCTTTGTCTTTTCTCCCCCCCAGCAGTTCCTTTGTCATTTATCTCCCCCCCACTCCAGCAGTTCCTTTGTCATTTATCTCCCCCCTCCAGCAGTTCCTTTGTCATTTATCTCCCCCCCCTCCCAGTTCCTTTGTCATTTATCTCCCCTCCAGCAGTTCCTTTGTCATTTATCTCCCCCCCTCCAGCAGTTCCTTTGTCATTTATCTCCCCCCCCTCCAGCAGTTCCTTTGTCATTTATCTCCCTTCCAGCAGTTCCTTTGTATCTCCCTCCAATCCAGCAGTTCCTTTGTCATTTATCTCCCCCAGCAGTTCCTTTGTCATTTATCTCCCCCCAGGTTCCAGCAGTTCCTTTGTCATTTATCTCCCCCCTCCAGCAGTTCCTTTGTCATTTATCTCCTCCAGCAGTTCCTTTGTCTTTTATCTCCCCCTCCAGCAGTTCCTTTGTCATTTATTTAGTTCCCCCCCCCTCCAGCAGTTCCTTTGTCATTTATCTCCCCCCCCCCCAAATTCCTTTGTCTTTTAGCGGTTCCTTTGTCATTCCCCCCCCCCCAGCGTTCCTTTGTCATTTGTCATTTCATTTGTCATTTATCTCCCCCTCCAGCGGTTCATTTGTCATTTATCCCCCACCTGTTCTTTTGTTATTTAAATTAAGTAGTATGTCTTCTTAGAATTAATGTTTAGTCCTTTCTTCTTACTTATTTTATAAGTAATAGTGAGTTGTAAAGATGTATCATAGTTGTGATACTCAAAAGTAAATAGTCAACTTGAATATCGGTTATGTTCTTGACTAAGGGAGACAATTTAAAGTTTTCATTATTCAAAAAAAATTTTTTTTCTTTCTTAGAAACTGAAACCCAAAATCTTTGACTTGAAATAGATTTTAATTCTTTTATGCGTGTCTGAATTACCTCCATTATGACTAGTGCTTTAGAATCATTAATAATTATTAAGATTTATTTTTGGATTTGACAACGTGTAATTGAAAGCCTAAAAAGTGAAAGCAGGGACCCTTGTATATGACATGTAAACCTTTAAAAACATATCACACTGTAGGGGTAGTCTGATTTAAATATGTGAAGAGTGTAGATTATGGATACTTTCCTCTTAGACAGGAACAGGATGTTGTTGATATTCAGTTTGTGTGTTTACTTATTTGAGTATCAACCACTAATATATACATCTTTACAATACATAATCTTACTTATTATAGAATGCAGATTGTGTCTGTACGTTTATATATTGGATCGGATTTCCTACATTTTTCAACCGATTTCAACAAAACTTCACAGGACTACATAAAATTACATTGTGGTGGTTCTGACAGCGCCAAAAATGGAAAAACACAATTGTTTTTTGCACAAAATCAATTTGAAAACACGATTCTGTCACCAGAATGAAAGGGGGACAACTCATATCGAGTTATACTTATTATAAAACCCAGGTTGTTTGTGTGTGTGTGTGTTCATTTATATATGGGATCAGATTTCCTACATTTTTCAACCAATTTCAACAAAATTTCACTTTTTTTTTTTTTTTGGCAGGTAGTGTTTCTTATTGTCTTGCATGCTTTTTTCTTTATTTTTACATTCAGAATGCTTTAAAAATTCCATTTACACGACAATTATTTATAATAAAATTCTATTCAATCGATAGACTCATAATGATTGAAAACAATGTTTTTGTTTGAGTTTGACCAATTCGTAAAAAAAAAACTAATTAAGACATGCATGTTCGTCAACCTTAAACAATAATCTTTGTCAATTTTATTTTTCAGTCTTTATGTCAGTTGATACTTGATCTATGTCTTACTGTTACATCCCCGGGCTCTACTGCTAGTTACTTATAAAATATTTAAATCCTAATTTAATCTGCTAATAAACCAATTATATGTAAGTAGCATCTACAATTTTAGTAGATGAATCATTGTAATCTATTAGTAATTTTTAATTACTATTTAATATCTAAATGTGTTTATACACAAATGTCCTCCTGAAAGGTATGAATCCATCTCCCTCCAGCTATGAATTAAATAGTACAACATCTATCTCGAAAAAAAGAATTATCTCCAAACATATTATCTGAAAATTAAGCATGAATTATCTTCATACTTATCTCCCTCCAGCTAGGAGTTAAATAGGACTTCTATCTGGGGTTGGGGAGGGGGTATAAGAAAAAAAGAATTATCTCCAAACATTGTTAATGCAATATTCACATGAAAAGAAAAATACAATCCAAAATGTTTCATCTTTAAATAACTCATAAAAGAGTAGAATCTGTAGAAAACGAATCAATCTTTATTTTTTAATAAAGCATTAAAAAATCAATTAATATTATTTAAATGACAGAAAAATGCAAGTAGCATGTGGAATTTTCAGTAGATGAAGCCTTGTAGACTATTAATAATTTTTAACTAGTATTTCTTTTCACTTTAATTTCAATGACTTTTCATTGCAACTGCATGGGCCAACAGTCAATGATATGCAGTATGATTGAATAATAAAGAATATACAATCACCAAAAGGTTATTTTTTTACAAAGGCTAGAAAAAATAGTTCTTCTCTATAACTGAGTTACTTCACAGTTGTTGACTCTATCAGCTGGAACCTAGATTATTTTGATAAAATTCATCCAATACCAAGTCCAAGAGCCACTCAAGCTAGTTGGTTATTGAATGAGGCATATGATATGAACGTATGAGAAAGGATTAGGAAGTAAATATTATGAGTGGTGGGGGTGTACTATGATATGGTGTTGAAGCAGCAGTTCCTGTATAATCTCAGAAGTTAAGCAAATTCATGCCTGGTCAGTACCTAGATGGGTAGCCACTTGGGAATACCATGGGCTTGTATGTGTGGGTGGTGTAATGGATAATGACTCATAATTGTTAATCAGGGAACCAAGTTCCAATTCCAGTTAGGTTTGTTATATTAATTTATGTGCAAATAGCTTCTTGAAATGTATGGATCCACCTCTTCTCCACCCACCAGCTGTGGGTGAATTAGTATCACTTGTATCACTAAAATCATTATTATCTCAAAAAAAATATTCTTAAAATCTAAAAAAATATTTTATGGCTTTAAATAACCTGCAAAGGGTTGAATCTGTAGAAAACGAATCAATCTGTATTGGGTAGTTAAATAACCCCCCAAAAAATTCTTGTTTTGTTCTTCAAAAAGACCTCTTGAGACTAATCCTTTCAAAGGGTAAAACATAACACAGGAATTTATTCCATTTTATCATTCAATTACTCACAGTTAGTCTGATATATAGATTTATATATAACTTCAATTCTCTATATTCCAATACAGCATCTGACAAAACCAAATTATCTCCCTTGTTTCCGTCTCCATCCACTGACGTCTAATGTTAAGCTCAATAGGAAATAAGAAAACTTCTCAGTTCTGTATAAATGGATATTCTCTTAACTTTTATTTTTTCCCTTTTTCTCTATTCTGTTTCTCTGTTCTCCTTTCTCTTTTTTGTTCTTCTTTTTCGTTTTCTCTTTTTTGTTCTCCTTTTTCATTTTTCTTCTCCTTTTCATTTCTCTTTTCTCTCCTTTTCATTTTCTCTCTCTCTCTCTCTCTCTCTCTCTCATCTCTCATATCTGGTTTTTCTTTCTTTTTATTTTCTCTTTCTTCTTCTCTCTATCTTTTTTCTTTTTCCTTTTTTCCTCATTCTCTGAAAACTGAATACTGCCATAATTATTCTTTGGAGTGACAGTGAAGTTGTTTTCTACTATATCATCTTCATTCTTCAAAGTTCTGAATTGTCTTCTTTATGAGAGCACAGCTTACCTTCCTATTTTTAAACCATTATATTTTCTTAAAAATATGCGAACCACTTATATGACTTTTAACAATATTGTTTCTTTTATCAGCATTTGTGCAGTTAGAAAAGTTGTGTTCACTTGGCCAACTGATAAAATCAGATAAATGTGCTAGATGACTCCATTTTATTTCAAACATAAAATTTCTGAATGAAATCAACCTCGAAATACTCATAGTTCAAAGGGAGATAACTCTGCCTGGAGGCTATTGACAATAACATTCGAGTCATTCAATCGAAAGCCTTCTCTCTAAAAACTATGAAATTATCGACCTACCAGCTTTATTTCATAAAACCTAGTTGGTAGGAGTGAATGACTTCTCCCCTCCCCAGGCACATAGTAACTGATGACATTTATTTAAATACAGTTTACTACAAGAGTAAGAGGATGCTGAAATGTCTTCAGTCTGACACTCTTCACAAAATTCAAGCAAAGGAAGAATCTGATTTTCTCGTTTTGTTATTTTTTTTTTTTTTTTTTTTTAAATGTTTTTGGTTTGGCTGTGAACTTTCAGCATACTCTCATCTTGATCTGTGCCAGACAAAGCTAAGCTGATGATATCTGTACCTTCTCCCATATATATGACAGGGTGCTGAAAAGTTTGGACTTGGAGCTAACGAAGGAGGGATTCAGAAGTAATCATTTTTTATGTTTGGTCAGATTTTGGGAACTTATCCTGGCCAAGAACATTACTGCACACCCTCATTTCATACCTATCTAGCCCTGTTTGTTTCTCTCTCTCTCTCTCTCTCTCTCTGTTTGTTTCTCTCTCTCTCTTTGTTTCTCTGTCTCTCTCTGTCTCTGTTTCTCTCTCTCTGTCTCTGTTTGAATGCTCAAAACTTAATAAAATCAGTTTTATCATAAATATATCTTTATTAAGAGGAAAGACAAAAGGATTTTTATAAAAAAAAAAAAGCTAATATTTTTAACTTTTTTTTTTTTATCATTCAAATATAGTGTCAATCTTGACACTACATTTGAATAATAACTCTAACATTTAAAACAACATGCCTGGCCACATCCACAATTCTGGAAAATCCTTATTGAAAACACAACTAAACTTAAACATGAAAAAAATAAACAATGTAAAAATTCTTGAAGCTATATATATATATATATATATATATATATATAAAACAGTTGAAACCTGAACAAAATAAACTATGAAATCTCCACAAATATTCTTAAATGCCTATAATTTATACCAACGGCTTCCCATACTTAATACTTCTCATTTTCACTCTCATGTGGTCGTGTGTGACGTCATGAGCTGTGGTGCAATTTTTGCTTCCATCATCTCATATGCACGAGTTTGTTGTTGCTTGGAAACCTTCCATGTAAACATAAACAGACTATCATTATTGTTTTGTCTGTGTATTGTTTAATATATTGTAATGTAATTGTCATCTTTGATAATGGCTTATGTATAGGATTAAAAAATATGCATCAATATTGTGATTTTCTTTCTTCTTTTAATGATAATGTTATTAAGCTTATCAGACGATATGAAAAGAATTTACATAAAATAAATAGACAAAACTTGTCTATATTATTTAATGAAACATGTATGTATGTATATATGTATATATATATATGCACAAGGCAATGCAAAATCAAGTGAACCCCCTAAAATAATGTTTTTAAAAGAATCTCTTGTCCAAATAATAATCGACAAATCTTAATTAAATATATATTCATTTTATTAAATGAATTCTAATGACTGGTGTTGGTTGAAATCGCCACACATGTGAAAGGTTGCTAAGGGATGAACAGTGATGTCATCAATTTTTGATACTATTCTGGCAAACATTGCAAGATCATCATCATCATCATCTTGAGTGTGATAAGCAACAAAGAGGATATGCTCTGAACAAGGGGCACACCCAAAAGCACATGAATAGGAAGTCAGAATTCTCATTTTTATGGTCTCTGCTGCAAAGAAGTCTTGATATATACACCCAGCCCATGGTTTTATCTATTTAGAGGGTCATCTTTGGTGAGTAGCCCGGGATTGTGAAGTCTTGAATTGGAATAGATCGTCCAGTTTCTAATACGAAATTGAGGTCAGGCATGATCACTTGAAGGTGTAGTTCAAGTTCTGTATAGTTGGATCATAGACCCTTTACGTTAGAGAAATCATAGACCCCTTACATTAGAGAAGGAGAATTTTAAGTCTACTTTATGTATGATTGATCAAGGTTAGGTTCTTTTGCATGTTTCAACTTTTTTTAACATTTGTAATTGGAAGTGAGGAATCAAGCTAACAAGATAGCAACACCTCAAGTGCTATATGTAGAAAAGATCCCAACTGAATTAATCACTGCAAAGCACAATTGTAGCTGTACGCTGTGAAAGGATATTCACTCACACCATATGGTCATAAAAATTGGGCTTGTGTTCACAAGGAAAAACGGTATAAACAAATATACATAATAACAATAAGGAAAAAACATAGTAAATTGCACAGTAATTTCATACAATTTTATTTGTGTGCCTGTTTTACAACTGTATTGATGTTATAAAAGGGTGTAAGTCACTCCATAATATCACAAGTCCTATCACAGAATGAACTTACACATGTGTTGTCACCACAACAGTCCTTGGGTGAAGAGATTGAATTTCACGTCTTTTGGCGGGATGTCCATATTTTCAGCAGAAACAATCCCTGTTGCATGCTGGGAATAATTCTATTATTTTTATTTATTTATTTTTTTTTTTATTTTAAACAAGCTTTAAATTTTATTTGTAATTTTTGTGATTATTTTATTTTTATTTATAAAAATATATGATATCCCAGTGGTAGAAAGTCAGACATGAAATCGGTCTGGTTTCAGTCCTGGCTTGAAGCATTCAGATGTCTAGTCGCAATGAGGAGCTGTGAAACAGTACTGTTTGCGAATGACATAATTATATATTTATAATAATAACAATCTTCCAACAACATTTCATTATGGCATTGAGAGATCACATGGGAAACTACTGCACAGTTCAGATCTGATTCACAAAATGGCAGTAGAGTAGCCCAAATATTATGCACCTGCTGATAGGATATCCTCTGTAGTAGTCACTTCAAGGTTTGGATCTTTGACTATCAGCCCAAAGAATATTACTAGAAAGGCATGTAAACCAGACAATAGCCTGCAAAACTTAATGAAAGATTTGAACAGAAAATAGCCCAAAGCAGAAATTGATACAATGGGGCAAATTAACCCGAGAACACTAACCATCAATTAAAGTTACACCACTACTGACCATGGATATATCATACCCAATTTTGAAAACATCAAAAAAAATATTATATATAAATCTTTATTTGAAATATTTTACATGCAGGCACTTCGAACTTTGTACTTTGAGTTAACATTAATAAGAACTGAAAAGTATTACTTAGGTAAGAAAATCAGGTACTGAAAATTGTAATTAAAAATAGGAAAATTTGTGCTGGGTACTATATACCCATGGTTAGTGTTCTAGGGTTAAAAACTGCAATGGGTTTAGCTGCTAAAGGAAGTGTTGTTGGGAAGTCTCTTAGCTGTTAACCAGAGAATTGCTCTTTCTACTAATCTTTATGCCTTTTAAATTTGTTTTCAAGTGATCATTATTAATTTCTATTTTCCCCATATATTTGTTATATATATTACACATTTCTGATTCTCTTTTAATTGGCAAAGTACATGTTTAATGTTTCTAATTTTATTAAATACTTTCTATCCAATACATTATTTTATTACCATTCTCATGGTGTTTCTTGAATACTATTAGTTGTCCTTAAACCATGTAATCCTGATATGTTCAAGTTTTTTGTCTTCTAATTGTGACTCAATAGGGCTTGGCTGTCATTAGACACACACACACACACACACACACTTGAGTGGATTCTAAATGATTTTATTTGAGTGTGAAATGTTTGGTGTTTTTATAACCAGTAGTAAAATCTAAAAATAAGTTCTTCAAAGTGTTCACCCACTGACCAAAAAGAAATAGAAAAGAAAAATAAATGAAAATTGTAGGGAACAAGTGTCACTTGGTTGGAAGTTTTGCTTGCAGGCTTATATGAGCATAGTCACAGAACAGGCTGAAAGAGTTCCAGGCCACTCCTCAGAGAGTTATTTTGAGCGACCTGTGGATGAGTTGTGCATTATGATGTAGAGATGGCCAGAAGTGTGATAGGAGAGAGTCATAACTATCACTGGTCCAAAAGAATAGCTGATCTATTAGTCTGTCATGACAAAAGTTGTCTCAAGTGAATCCCTGAAAAGTATTGTAGCATACCTACGTACGATAATGGGTATGTCACCATTCACATAAATACAGTAGTAAATACTGTATGTTGGTCTGCAGTTGGAGATTCATTGTGGAATTCACTTGACTCACTTCTAGCAGTTGACTACTACTTCTACTCGCCACTGGTGAATCTTATATGTGTTGTTCATGTCCTAAGTATTATCGTTCTTTACCAACCTTCGTGTGATTATTTTATACAGTAAACTTCCCTAGGTTACAACTCATGGGAAGAAAGATTTGTTTTCCATTTCTCATTGTGGATTTCACCTTTTAGTTCTCCTGTTAATATACACTGCACCTTTTTGTGTGCACCAACACAGACTGGAATCAAAACACAGCATGGAAGGATTTGAAAGTACCTCAAAGACTGAGCTGTTGTTCCCAGGGGTATTTACAGTCTTTTTTTTTTTTCAAAACATTACAAATAAACATGACTTTTGTTTGATTTCAATTTATTTTTGAGCCTACATTGAAATCTTCCATATTTAAAACCTTTTAGTATTTTTTTTTTTTTGTAATTTATCCTATGATTTTAATATCAGCAAACTGTTTCAGCACATAGTAAATGATTTAAATATTCTTCAATTCCTTTTTCAAAAGATATTTTCAAGGTATGCTATAAATAATTCAGGTAAAATCATATCTTCTTATCTCACTCCTTTACCAGTTTTATTAATTTCATTCTACAGTTTAATTATTGCTGTGGTGTTGAATTTTGAATAAAGAAAACAAGTGACCAAATGTTACATTTAATTACAGATTCAATCAACAATGTATTTTGCCTGATTATCTATGACTTCCTTCCATCTATTAACAAGCTTACTAATTCCATTACTGTAAAATTATTTTGGCTTTGATTCGAAGAACTCACAAATGTCAGTTTTAACCTCTTCCTGTTTTACAAAAGCTGTTTCTTCCAAATGGTAGTCTGAAGGAGCAAGATCGGAAGAATAAGGTGGATGAGGAATTTTCTCCCAACCAAGTTCTCCAATCTTTTGTGACGTGATTCTTGCTGTGTGTAGTCACGCATTGTCCTGATCAAACATCACCTCGTTTCGATTCACTAGAGCAGGTCTTTTTTTCCTCAAAGCTTGGTTCAAACGCTCTAATTGCTGACAGTATATTTGAGCATTAATTGTTACATTAGGTGGTAAGAATTCAAAGTGGATTATTCCTTGGTGATCTCACCAGATTGAAAGAAGAACCTTTTGCCCATGAAGTTCCCTTCTCGGTTGTGGCTGGGGTGCTTCCCCTTTACCAAGCCACTGTCAACGATGCTTAACATTTCGATAAAAGATCCATTTTTTTGTCACCAGTCACAAGTCTATCCAAAAAAGGTGAAACAAGTTGACGAGAATGGAAAGAAGAGCAGATGTCAACTCGGGATTTGAGGTTGTTTTCAGACAATTCATGAGGCACCCATTTTCCAAGTTTAGGAACTTTTCCAAGTTGTTGAAGATGATGATGATGAACAGTTGTGTGGTTTGAACTGAGAACTACTGCCAATTCCTCAACTGATAAAGCAGGATTTTCTTCAAGGGCTGC